GATGCCCAGTGAGTCAGAAACGAACATCCTGGTTGCACATTTTTCGGCATGTCTTCGAGGGGTTACTATATAACCCACAAAAATCAGTTGGTTTAATGATGATTACGACAATTATGTAGTATGATAATGATTGTATATAAAATGATTGTAAAAAAACAAAGTGTCAATTTGATCGACCCCACAATTGGATGATTTGAAACTACAACACTTCTGTGAGGTATGGCCATGCTGTACTCAGAGCCACCTATGCAAGTCACCCCAGTGATCATGGAAAATTCCGACCCAGAAGTGTGTTGCTCTCTATCGATGTTCGTTCGTTGGTCATCGTGAGAAATGCAAACAAAAATGCAAACAGAAAACCAACAATTACAGATCATTGCAGTAATATTGTTAATTACATAAGATAAATTTTGGAGAGTCACGCATCCGCTCCTGGAAAACGCGTAAAAGAACGCCGGTCAAAATGTTTCAATGTCCGGGGTGGTGCCTTAAAGATGACGATCGATGTGCGAAAATCGCGAATCACCAGGGTGCAGAAGTGAAGGTTGGAGTGAGACTCTTCAGAAAAAAAAAGTGTACAGTCTATACCATTGATAACGGATTTGAGAGTGTTCTTTCTTCCGGGGTCCCCAAGTTGGGAAACGGATTCGACGCCAAATCCGCAGGAGTGATTTGGTCATGAAGCCCGACGAGTCTGAATGGAGCCAAAGTTTTGGCCTCAAAGCTCCGGAATTCTGTGACCTTGTCAATAGATGGCCCTAATCGAAACAGATGGTTTACCTATTAAACATGGTGGATCTTTCCATGGCGAACTGTGAATGTTATAACCAGAGGGTATTTCAACCTTGTCAAGTTTAACAATCCCTGGGTCCATTTAGGTGATGGCCATTCTAATAGGAAGAATTCGGATAAACCATCGGATCTGGGTAAATTAGATCACGACCTCCCGTCGCGACCGAACCCTGGAAATCATGGCTAGTAAGGGAAATCATCCCCAAATGGCCGCAAGATTCAGGTTAGTGAAATATTATAATTTACCCAGATTGGATGGAATGCGGTACCCCATTTTCAGTCAAACCAGCAATGACATCCATATTAACATTGAACATTCATTGGTTTTCGGCCCCTCCTCAAATTAATTGATGGGGAGTCATTAAAGTGAAACTGCCAAAATGTCTTGCCAGCAAAAATGACAATGTTGTTTTTGATTTACATTTGAATCTACTTCAATTTCTTTTTCCGTTGCTGGTTTCATCGCTGATGGGGGAGAGGATGATTGCTAATTATTGAATCATGTTCCTACTTCCTTTGTTTCTTTTTTTCCTGTTCTTTCGTTACTTCCTTTTTTTGCTTCTTTCCATTCCTTTATTTTTCTGTTTGTGCGTCCGTCTGTCTGTCGTTCTTTCATTCTGTTTCTGTTTATTTGTCTTGTTCTTTCTTGCTCATTAGTGTTCGAATTATTCTCTCTTGCTAATCCGTTCCCCCTAAAACTAAACCCCCCACCCCACCCCCCAAATATATAATAAACACCTCAGGTAGTTTTTATTATTAGGGGGTATTTATGATTAGGGTGCGAAGCTTCCCCCTAATACTAAATTAAAAACCCTAATATACAAAACCGTTTTTTTCTATTTCAAAATCGTTTAGATTTCTTTTTAAAAAACTAATTAACATATTGCCAAAAATTGGATTTCGAAGCTTTCCCGTAATATGAAATGAAAACCTTAATATAAAATATTGTTTTGTTGACCTTAAAAGACGGTCCCTAATAAAAAACACCCCTGAAATGGTAGCTTCATTTTTAAATTGTTTTCTAAAGGGGATCAATTAACAATCAAATTGGCCAACCTTATTAAATTGTCCAAAATTGGAGACGGACCCTAGTTTTTATTATTTGGGGGGGTAGTAATAGGGGGAAGGGATACAATACTTCAGTTTTTCTTCCTTCCTTTCCTTTTTTCTCCTACCATCACAGCAGTTGCACTATTCCGTGGGAGATCCTGGGAGGTTCATTGGGTGCCTCCTTTGAACAAAAATGTTGGGTGCCGGCTTATCTTAAGTGTAATAAAGGAACGGATCCGTTTGGAAACCTTGGCATTCTTCGGAAGTTGTGCTTCGCAAGAGACAAACATCAACAGCAAAGGAGTGGTGCCCCCAAGGGATTGACAAGCAAATCTCAGCAAGGTCCTCCTCAACTACTGACTGTTTTGTTTTCTCTTACTCACTCCCAACCCCCCAAGTATTTGTACTGGAATACGCTTGTTTTTTTTTTGCTCCTGTTATTTCCCATCGTCACACTGATCAATCTTGCACACATATACCCAATCGAGATGTAATAGTGCCATGGCCAAAAGATGGATTGTCTACCCATATGTAGGAAACAATCCATTTTCATAGGGCCAAACATATACCAATGATGACCATGGATTCCCATCATGGGATGGATGACCATAAGAAAAAACACCATCTTAGTTGACCATGGCACTACAATGAAAGTGTTGCACCCCACAGGGTGAACATCAAAGAACTGTCTATACATAGTGTCCCTAGTAGCCCCATAGAGGCTGAACAAAACCAGCCGAGATGACGGAGATGACACAGGGTGAACACCCTTCAACGTCACATGACGCTGCATCAGGTGTTAGAACAAGGTCTTGCACCAGTAAAGAGCAGTTGCATGAATGTTCACCAGTCATTTTAGGTACCTAAATCGATCTAAATCGCAGGTGCCTACCATCTGTAATGTCTATATGTAAGGTGTATGTAAAGGCCCATTAAATATGGCTTTTAGGGCCTGTTTCTATTTATCTTCCATCTTCCAGAATGGTATCGACTCATACTTCTCAACCGATGGTTGAGCGGGCTTGGTGAAGAGCAAAAACGCATGCCATCGATCATCATAGATCTCCTTTTCCTGCCGGTTGCTTGGGCAATAGAATGGCAATAGAATGGTTGACCACCCGTTTTTTGGCACCCATTTTCTTACTGGCTCTCAGTAGGGAATGGGGCAATGATCCAATCCATAACTGGCAATAACCATCCCATTCCCCCATTCTCTACGTATGATGCGCCAGTAAGTTTTTCTTCCAACAAGTCCAATGGTAGCTTCCCTCCAACGGCACAAGGTCGCTACACTGTGGTTGACAAATTGAGGTCCAAGGCCGTCGCCGGTGGGCACCATCCGCAGTGATTCAAAACGCAGGGGGATGATGAGGGAAACGCATGAATTATGGGACAATATTGGGATAATTACCCTCTGGTAAACTAACATAACTATGGAAAACCACCATTTTTAATGGGAAAACTCACTATAAATGGCCATTTTCAATAGCTATGTTAAATTACCAGAAGGTAATCCGATAATTAATCCAAATTGGGGTGCTTATTATGGAAGATGTAGAACCATGATAAACCATCCCCAATTGTTGTTTTATTGGGATACATCTTTGGGATGATGTTTAGCATGGCCCCCAGTCATGGTTGGTTACTGTGATGCTATGTGGTGGTTTATTATTGGGTTTCCAACAGGAATTTGGATGAATTCAAATTACAACAATTCACTGATAATACTGGGGTGTGTCTGAAAGTGAGGTGTACCGGTATACCTCACAAATCGTCGAGCAACAATGAGTTTCGACACATTTCTGAACCACATGGATTTGAGGTACCTTATTTTCAGACACATGGGATTCACCCAAATCTTCCAAGTTTATTTATTTGATAAGGCGAAAACCGTGGTGAAGAAAACGGTACGCGATTTTTTTCGAAACGCCCACGCAGCGACTGGTTAGAACTTCATAGAACTTCTAATCCCCTGGATCAGATGAATGGTAAACTGGTTAGTGGTTTGGAACATGACTTGTATTTTCCATTTCATAAAAAAGGGATGTCATCCTTCCCATTGACGAACTCCATCATTTTTCAGAGGGGTAGGTCAACCACCAAGCAGATTATGATGTAGCCATCCATTACTTATGTATTATCTCAGTGTATCATACTCTACTGTATTCTACTCATCCCCTGGATCAGGTGAATGGTAAACATTCATGTTTGTTTCAATTTCCAGCCATTATTTCCTGAGGAACCGTCCCGCAATTCGCCATGGCACAGGGCAGCTGACTAGGATGGTACATGATGGTACCATTTTCAATCACCGTTTGATAAGGGGAGCCATGCGTTTCACAAAGCCAAAAATGCCTGAAAATCAACGAAACAAACCATTTTTCTGAAGCCATCATCGTGGATCTTGGAAGGGTTTGTGTCCAGCAACCTTGACCAAAGTCCGTCGGAATTTTCAGGTGGTGGAGGGGCGCATTCGGATCAAGCAGTACTTTCAGGAGCTGACAGTGTTGAACTGCTGTTGGGAGCTGCGATCGGAGCAATGGTTATGTCCATATTCCCTTGAAACCTTCCGAACCAAAGGAACTACGAGTTGAGTTTGTTGAGTGTCCCAATCACATGATTGTTTGACATAGTTTGATATGTTAGAGATCTGCAAAGAATTCAGGATTGATGTAAGAAACGAAGGAATTCCCTGAGCAAAAGAATTCAGGGGATGACTCCGGGATGAACATGGGATGATCTTGCTGGAACAGCATGACCAGATTCTGTAGTTCCCTACTAGTATATATATATACTTACATACATAATATATATATGTACATACATGATATTTATATATACATATATGTATATATTATGTATATATATAATATATATATATATATTATGTATATATAATGGCATTATTCTGTAGGTTTTGATGGATTGCTGGCCATGCGATATCCAGAAAAAGGATATTTCAACATATTTCAAAATCGCAATGCTTGGAGGCTTGATCACTTGGAGGAGCATGATTTTTGAAATAACCGTTTCATTTTTTCGAAACTTCCGCGGGGGCATGGGCCATCATGGGCCCGGCACTATCTGGTACATAATATATCCATGAGATAACCCACTTAGGGCTACTTTTTATGGGAGATGGAGCGCAAATGATTTGCAGCAAGGGACAGGCTCAGACACGGATTTGAATCATCTGCCCGATTTTGCAGCTGAGCAATGGATAGAATGCCTTCTTGCACCTGGTCCCGTTTCTCGCAGCCAGTTGGAGGGAGGGCTTACAGTCGAATTTAATGCAACTTTACCGGCTTTGTTTGACACTGGAGGATCACCCCCGAGGGTCACAAACAGATCGAGAACAGGATGATCAACATTGATATCATTGATCAACCAAAGTTCACCATGGACCCATTGCGTTTACGCTGGGACCCTGGGATCCATGAATCAGAAACTATCCCAGTTGGTTAAACAACCTGAAGAGATCCCCTTGCCCCTTGCTTGATCCTCTACAAAGTGCCACGCATTTGGTGTTGCAAAATGCCTCCTCACATACCCTTCTCATAAACGTCCCCCCCAAAAAAAAAACAACTATTTCTATGTTTATATGCATATAAATCAGGTCGTCATGTATGGACGGTAAATGATGTAATTCCCCACCTGCCAGGTGAGGGTTGTTAGATTTTATCAGAGCTGTTCTCCTCCTCCTCCGCCTCCGCATCCTCCTCCTCCATCTCCTCCGCCTCCTCCTCCTCCTCGCAGTCCAGATCCCAGTGGGGAAGAATGTGAGAAAAGATGTCAGATAGAATGTCAGAAGATATGCCAGATAGAATGCCAGAGAATGTCAGAAAGAATGTCAGAAGATATGCCAGACAGAATGTCAGAAGATATGCCAGAAAGAATGTCAGAAGATATGCCAAAAAGAATGTCAGAAGATATGCCAGATAGAATGCCAAAAAGAATGTCAGAAGATATGCCAGATAGAATGCCAGAAGGTATGCCAGATAGAATGTCAGATAGAATGCCAGTAGGTATGCCAGATAAAGTGCCAGAATGTTTGCCAGATAGAATGCCAGATAGAATGCCAGAAGGTATGCCAGATAGAATGTCAGAAGATATGCCAGAAGATATGCCAGATAGAGTGCCAGAAGATATGCCAGAACAGATTGCAGAAGATATGCCAGCTAGAATGCCAGAAGATATGCCAGATAGAATGCCAGAAGATATGCCAGATAAAATGCCAGAAGGTATGTCAGATAGAATGCCAGAAGGTTTGCCAGTAACAAAATGTATAAATGTCATGGTGGGAATCATTCGAAGTGAAGTAATTCATGTGTTTTTGGTCCTGGGAATCATGCACCAGTGTTCAATGGCATTTTCCGCCATAGCTCGGAGATTCAAACCTGGGGAAAAAATGAGAGCAGCTGACATTTGCTTCTTAAGTCATAGCTGGTGGATGTTTTATTCCCCCATGGTATTTTTTAGGTAGCTTGACCCATCCCCAAACAAATACAGCTAAATATACAGTTAAACTAGAACGACCTCACGCCGAGATTTCAATGGAGAGGCACCTATCCCAAAATGGCCAAAGCATTTAGGTTAGTGAATCTGCATCATTTATCCACATAATATATATGCATAGATACATATGATTATATGTATATAGATACATATGGTTATATATATATATATGCACGGTTACATAGATACATATGATTATATACATATTACACAGATACACATGATTATATATATATATACAATATATATATATACATAGATGCATATGGTTGCATTTATACATGTACATAGATACATATGACTATATACGTTTACATAGGTACATATGATTATGTTTATTTATATATATATGTAGATACAGATACATAGATGCATATGATGATGTATATATATATACACGTATACATAGATACATAGGATTGTATGCATACACATAGATACATGATGATGATGATGATTATTATTATTTATAATATATATATATATTTACATACATACGTAAATAGGTAAACATGATTAGATAAATTATATATATGTATGTATGTATGTATGTATGTATGTATGTATTACTGTATACTGTGTAGGTTAGATAGATAGAAAGATAGATAGATCGATAGATAGATGCATATTTGAATATACAGTACCTATACAAAGAATAAGATACCATATATACAAGCATATTACCATATGGGTGTGTCTGAAAATAGTGTACCCCTAAACCCAATGGTTTTGCTGATCATTATCCCAATTATCCCTATGAAATGGCTATTTCATTGGGAATATACCCTATTTTCAGACACACCAATGTATTTTACCATATATAAATCATATCCTGCTTGTCCGTCCTGTTACGCTCGGAAAACGGCCGGTAACGGCTTGAGTTTCTTAAGGGTTCTTAAGGGCCCTACGAGGCCAACATTCCAACGCTTCCACGTCTGCGAGCTCACATGCCGAGTTGGAGGTTGGGCAAAAAAAAAATCCTCCTTGTGGTAGTTTCTTATCAATGGAACATGTGAAAGATTTCTAGATGTATTTATAAAACAGGACTATTTGCATTATTTGCTATGGCAATGTCAGATTACCAGAGGGTATTTGATACGTTTACTTCCTTTTAACTTTAAGTTTTGCTAAATGTCAGCGACCTAACAATGATTTTCACCGTAGAATGTATGATGATGGTATAATAATGATGGTATACCCTCTGGTAATTTGTTATATATACATATATAACTATTGAACATGACCATAGAAATAGTTGATTTACCTATTACTGTAATTAGATGGTGATTTTCCATAGTTTTTATATGTTTACCAGAGGCTAATTGATCAGAGGAATGATCTCAGTCAACCAGTTGACTCAAGCCTAAAGGATCCCAAAGGCATTGACACTGTTGCTTATGATGGTTTCTTCTGCATCATCATCATCATCATCATCATCAACATCAACATCAACATCAACATCATCATCATCATCGGCGGCGGCGGCGGCGGCATCCTTATCCTCATCCTCTTCCTTATTCTGGTCATGATGTTCAATCCTGTTCAACGTCGCAGGTTGATGATGTGACCTCTGGCCCGGGTCACTTGGGTCGCAGGGGTCGGGGCGACCAAGGGGGGAGATGTTGAAGCGGGGACAACAGTGGACAGAAGTCATCCATTTTGAGAACCCCCTGGCCATATCCCTATTATCCCTGTTCTTTTGGTGATCTTTGGATATTTTGGATCCCGACCTGAAGCTTGCATATCTTATCCTATTTTAAGCATGTCAGTTTCTGGAAATTTCTTTCATCCCTCTGGGATAAACTTGAATTGTTCATCCCGTTTGTTGCTGGCTGAAGACACTGTTTTGTTTGTTGCGACAGGTAGTGACGAGCACCCTGCGTTTGCCATGCAAAGTGGAGATGAACATCCATCGGCCCATGCTCTGATGGATGAGAACGAAACATGGGAGGCGACAAACGGTCGGATCCAATGGGGACGCAGTTTCACCATCAGTTTCCATTCTTCCATTGCACTGTATATCCATGTAAAAACCTTCCAGCAAACCAGAAATCCAGAAGTCCAGACGGACATTTGAGGATGGATTGTGAAATGCTGGGAATTGTGCAGATGGGGATGAGAAGCGGTTTTTAATACATTGAACATATTTAAGAATATCATTGATTTACTCGATCTATTGCGTCTATTGGGGGGATGAATATCCATGAACAACGATGAACATCAGCTATTTTGGGGTGAAACGAAAGTTTTGAAAAGTAAAAAAGGCTGAAGCGACCCATAGCCACGTTGGTCCAGTTGGTGGGCAAAGTCACAGCGCACACATGTTGATTGCCACATGTTTAATTGCCGGAGGGTAAGATGTCCGTAATTCTTCTGCAGATTGTTGGCTGCCATCGCTCATTTTGACATGCCCGAACTTGATAATAGCAGTTTTACATGGGGATCATTTAAACATATTTAAACCAATGGGCATCTCTTCAGCAAGCACCGCCAATCCAACGAGACTTACCCTGCTGCAAATTGCTGGCTTAGTACATCCAGGATTTGTGATGACACCATCCGGAAGGTGAATTTCCTTTGTTTTGGTACCCACATAGACCCACCATTTTCTAGTTGGTGGTTTGGAACATGAATTTTATGACTTTCCATATATTGAGAATGTCATCATCCCAACTGAGGAACTCCATCATTTTTCGGAGGGGTAGATCAACCACCAACCAGTTTTTTTTTAGCAAAAAAAGGTGAAATCAGTTTTTGCCAGGCATTCTATGGGTTTCTCGCACATGTGGCGGCACGACCCCGGCACGACAGGCAGATTTGGTCACCTGCGCTATCGATGTGCTCCATCGCGCAATGCGCGCAGGCGCTATCGATGGACTGCGGAAGATAGGGATACAACTTATAGATCTTATAGCAACCCCAAAATAGATAGAACGGTTGGAAACCTGGAAATATCTGGAAATATGAGGTAAATATCATTTTCACCATCCTGGAACCACTTTTCTATCTAATCTTTGTGCTATTTGTCAAAATAATTTAACATTTATCACCATTGAATATGTATATATGCACAATAACCCGTTTTGTCCGCAAGGGAATGCTTGCACAAGGTACTCCTGTGTTTGATTGGTAAATGGATTGTTTCTTAGCGTCATTGTAGAATACAAACACCCACTATCAGGCCAGTTTTTGTTGAAGGAATACAGTATACATACTGTATCATACTGTAGCAGCCAAGATGCACGCGACATCAAGCGACATCCAACGATTAGTCCTGGCATGATGACTATCAATGACAGTTGGTATCCACAAGCAAGAGCCAACTTTCGGTTTGACATTCCACAGGACCTCGTGTACAGAAATACAATCATATGGAAGGTAAGTGGAAAGCAAAAGATCAATATTCTAGAGATCAATATTTTTTTGAGATCTTTGCTTAAGGCTTACCCTCTAGTAATTTAACATAGCTATTGAACATGGCCTATTTATAGTTGATTTACCTATTAAAGATTATGATTTTGCAGTTCGCAAACTGTTAGTTTACCAGAGGGTAACCGTTGGGAGTCTCGTGGATCTTGCGGCGAGGTCAGCGAGAACATTCGAATGAAGATTGGAGGAATCTCTGGGATGGGCCAATTTTTCAACAGAAAAAGATATTATGATTTCTTACGGAACTACAGAACTATGAAGGTCAGCATTTTCATGGATTTTTATGAGATTTGATGGATATACCCTCTGAAAATGTCACATGACTATGGAAAATCAGCATTTTTAAGAGGTAGATCATCGAACTGAGTGGGCTATGGCTTCCATAGCGAACTTAGTTTACTGGAGGGTATCAACCCAAAGATTCAAATCGCATATGGTTGGGATGTGAACCATAAGTTTAGAACTTTAGACGCGTTTCTCGCTCCAAGACTATTTACTGCACCCCGGTATCCGACCCTTAATGTTAGCAATACTAAACCACCTATATTTTGATGGTTTCCAAATCACCCATGAAAATGATAAAATCGGAGATGGTGGATCCTGTTGCTTTACTATCATTGATTTTCTGGCTCCCTTGGGCCACGAAAAAGCAACAAGCTTGATGGGATGGATGACCCTATCAATCCCATTGATCGACAATGCTCCATAGCCACATTCCGAATGGGATGGGATATTTATTATGTTTATGTAATTACTATGATACTATATATATATATACATTTACATAAATATATATATACTCATATATAAATATATTCATACTTTTATATACTTCTATAACTATATAATAGAGCATCATAAACTGTCAGAAATAAATAATCATCACAAGTCACAAGTACCGGAATTAGCGAAGGCTCTGGGTGCTGCTTGCAACATAAGCAACAGGGGACACAATGTATGAGTACAGTTTTTTTTTCACAACCCAAACCATGTTGTAAACCTAATGCTAGTCCATACAAACACAATGTTCACATTGTTGCCTTTTTTAAGCTATCCTTAAACCTTGAGGTCCGGGGGTTAGTGTCGTGTTGGGTTTACCATTGGGTTTACCACAGTGCAACCAAATTGGATATTTTTCTGTGCAAACATATATGGATCGTTTAATACTAGTCTGTTGCCATAAATAGGGAAACTATAGCCACCTAAGAACTTGTCTTTTTGCAGGCTATCATCATAAAGTAGCCGTAGCTTTCTCCTCTACCCGTTGTACTTCAATGGATTGGTTTAAGGGAAAATTTACAGGAAACCATGGTTTTTACTATGAACTATGGGGTTTTCCTGTAATTTTTCCCCTAAACCAATCCATTGAGTACTTGGAAGTCTGAAACCGTAATCAACTTGGCGCCGGGCTAACCTGACGTCGCTGTCGCTGTGTCCGCTGTGTCAGGGGGATCTTAGACTTTGAACTTCTCCCACTGGGCGACCAATCCACAGCTGTCAGCACTGCTATCGCAGCGATCTTTCCTGATTGGTCTGAAGGTCAGCAGGGTCAGCCACAGTCAGCCCCAAGGACCCAAGTTATCCAAGTTGCCAGAAATCCGGGTAAAACATGGCTAAAACATGGGTAAGTCAGGGATCCCCAAGTCACCATAGTATGTTAACCAATAGTAAAATGTGTTCATTCGGATAATTTGAGCATATTTGAGCTGCCCCGACTTTAGGACACCCTCAACCCTGATGGATCTGATGGAAACTTGTTTCTTGACTACCCCATTGGCCGAATATGTTTCGCGGTCATTTCACATAATGTGTTGTGAAGCAAATATCGTGGTACTGCAAGAGAGATTGAGTCCAATATGCAAAAAGTATCGTTTGCAGTAATGGACAGCAAACTCTTTATGCCTCGCTAAGAACCCCTAAAGATCCCTAAAGTAAGGGCGCTTAGATCCCTCCACATTGAGCTTTCTTGTGTCTATCAGTTTCCCCCACCGCAACCCCGAAAGTTCGCTGGTATTTTGGATGGGGTTTGCATTATCGGGTGCGCAAATGAGTCACGTTGGGTGGTGCAGGTTCTAAATAACGTTGGGGTTTCTGATTGACATATATCTCGGGGTTCCAAGTGACGGCACCTATTTCACATGATCAGATACTATCTCTCGGGCAGAGCCAACACCGTATTCTGAGGCTGTTTTAGTAATGTGGGTACAGTAAAACAATTTCATAAACCATCCCCCAGTCATCACCATTTTTATAGGTGGTATATATATATAAACCATTCCCAGTCATGGGTGGCATTGTTTTACCCACATCCCGAGGTGATTTCGAGGTCAAGCATGCGACTGGGCGGAAATTTTGATGGCTTTCTCAACATGAGTTGGGATAATTCATATGGCCCTATGGTGAAATCTATCCTCGCATTTTTTTGGGGAGAGGTTCTCAGAAGTCCCTATCTTTTGAGGATGAATGAGGCAAAGCCGTTCCATAATTGGAACTGTGATAGTACTTTGAACTATTTTCATACCATGATCTTTCATCCTTGTGGTCCTTGTGATTGTTTTTCTATTCACTTTCCAAGTGACCATCACAGTTCCGGATCCTTTCTGCGCCTAGGATCATTTGCCTCAACTGTTGGAGGCTTTGGAACAACAGCAGCTTTGACCCCGAGCCGCACCAGAGTGCGCCCAGCGCACTCGCCGAATTCGCCCAGCTTTCACGGTGCATCTGAGTCGCAGCGTCCAGCAGATGTAGACGCTGATTTTCCAGCGATCAGCCATTCCGAGCTGCGCTGATCTTTTGAAAAATCGATTCAAGGAAATCACCAGTGAAGACCCATAGGATCCATGGTGCTGGTATATATGCTAACATTGGGGGTATATTGATGGGATCCATGTTACCATATATAGCAGCACCATGGATCCTATGGAAGATGGTTGATGGATGTTAAGTCGCAAGTTTCCCAAGTCATTCCAAGTCATTCCTCGTGAACAGTCGGTGAACTCAGTGAACTCTTCGAGCCATCTCCACTGGTCGCAGCCATGAAGGCATGGTTGGAGTTGACACAGCGGCAGATCAGTTGAGGACCACAGGATACCACAGGTGCACAGTCTTTCAATGTATCACTTGCAACTTTCGCATGTGGTGATTCATTTCATCTCATTTCAATCAATCTATCCTTATACTGTATGTAATACGTTCTACGTATCGATGGAGAGGTCAGATTGGGTAGCTGTGCCATCTTTTTGCAATTCGACGTTCGGCTGGTTTGCCCAGCCAAGGCCACACAATCAACGTGGACGTGAGGGGTGTGCTACCCCAGTTGAGGATAAAACCTGAGTCATTGCACCTCTAAAGTCTAAAGGGGTAAACGGGGTCATGGTTTCGAGGGATATTCTGGAGCTTTCCTAAGGTTTCCGAAGTCACGGGGGTACCCCCAAGAAAATCACCCATGATATTTTTTTTGGATTTTCCGAATATAAACCATCCAGATCCATCCAGCGATAAAGGGGTACTCTATGACTTTTGGAAGACTTTTGGAAGCCAAGTTGGTCCGTTCGTCCGTCCACCGTTGGTCCGTTCGTTCGAAGATGTCTTACCCCAACAAGGCAGTGAGACCTTGGGGGATGGGCGTCCCTTCCCGAAGCTGAGTCTCCATGGTTTTTGTTCCATCGATCCTTCCAAGTCACCAAATATTACCCTAAATGGTAAACGTCAACAGAAAGCTATTGAACATGACCCAGTCGAAATAGTCGATTTTCCCATTGAACATGGTGGATCTTTCCATAGTTATGTAACAGTTTACCAGATATTAATCAACGTTGGGTTGTTGGGCGATTCTTCCATCATGAGGTGTGTTTGAGAGGATGAACATCCATTGGGCGATTCCACAGATGGGAAATTCTGCGGGATTTGACCACATGTAGTGACATTGTTCTCAAAATCAGTACAGAATGCAGATGCAAAGATATGTCGTATGTAAATACAACATAATCCAATATAATCCATACATATACTATCATATACGTGTATTTCTGTTTGTATCTACATGTATATAATATAATATAATATCATATAATATAATATAATATATAATATAAAAAGTTGCATGACCCAGACATGTTTTGCGAAGATTCGGGATCATGTTCAGGGATCAGTTCGGCCCTGCTGTACAGCGCTAAATTCGGCATGGAACTGATGCCAGTGAATCCAGAGAGCCCTTTGTGGCTGAGCCATGTAACCGTTGTGAGGTGCAATTGGCGAAAAGGGAGCATCTTTTGAGTTTCTGCACGACTGTGGCACCGACTGTGGGAGTCCAAAAAATTTCAGGCTTCCGCCTATGAATCCAGACCTGGGTCAGTGGCTTCGTTTTAACAAAGTGTTGCATAGTTCTTTTGAAGCATGAATTTTACCCTCTGGTAAACTAACGTAACTATGGAAAATCACCATTTTTAATGGGAAAATCCACTATAAATCATCATTTTCAATAGCTATGTTAGTCATTACCAGAGGGTATACCATTTCATTTTAAGAAACATTGCCCGTCCCAGTTGGCGTTCTGAATCTCCGGAAGTGCGCGCGATACAGCCTCGGGTTGCCTAAAACATAGGGAAGCCATGGCCCATGTGTGATAGTTTACCTATGAAACATGGTGATTTTCCACAGCGATTTGTTAAGTTACCAGAGTATGTTTTTTATTCATTATCACTGCCCATCACTCAAGAGTGATAGTTATTGGGATGAACATTGGATTCCATGTTTTTTTTTGATTGCTCCAGCAATCAATGATGGTTTGCTGGAAGATTCCTTTTCCACTTGAAAAAGTTTATCCGGAAGAATGGCTATAGGATATATGCGTATATATATAATACATTTATGTATATGATATATGTATGTATACTAGGGATAGATAGATGGGCATGCAGATAGATATACACATGTGCACAATATTGGATCCATTCAAATAGTAGGCGTCCACCCAGCGGAGAAGATTAGATATGGATTCCTTTTGAAAGTGAACGCATCTTTGTACACTATAATATATATATATACATAAATAGATATATGAATGCACTCACACATAATATGACTGTATCATATATCTGTATATATAATATTCGCAGTTTTTTTTTAGATACATATATATATATAGTACATATATTATGTTACAATATAGTTTTTCTCATATTCGAATATAACTGGTTGGTGGTTTCAAACATGTTGTTATTTTCCATAATATATGGGATAATCCTTCCCATTGACTTTCATATTTTTCAAGATGGTTTTTCAACCACCAACCAGTTTTCCATGGTTTCTCAACTATGGGGGTCAGAACAATCCCAACTGACATTTTTTATTTTTCAGAGGGGTAGGTCAACCACCAACCAGATATTATTGGTATTATAACCACTATTATTAAATCCCATTATTGATGATTATTCCATTATAATCCCATTATATAATCCCATCATTAACCATATGTTAACCATTATTAACCATATATTAACCATATATTAACCATATATTAACCATATATTCCACTACATACCCTCTGGTAAACTAACATAACTATGGAAAATCACCATTTTTGATGGGAAAATCCACTATAAATCATCATTTTCAATAGCTATTTTGACATAACCAGAGGGTATCATATTTTTCTGCTGGAACCACCATGTTTTTTTTTTTTGGGTCAGGACTTCGATCCCTTGCGCAAGGGCTACTGTGCAGCTTCTCAGGTCGTTTTTTTCGGGATAGCGGATGGAAAATTCACGATTTTAACGATTGGCTACGGAAACTCACAATGTTTTTAATAGGTAAATCATCATAAAACACATATATTTATATATATATAATATATATGGACCATTTTCCATAGCTACTATTAAATTACCAAGTTGGGAAAAGACCGCATAGACTAATCTTTTTTTCCCCCACAAAAAAACCTGGAGTGGCATGTGGAAAATATGTAGAGCCAGTACACTGGGTGTTGTCCTTGCTGGATGATTCTAGCCCCCAAATAGTCCCTTTGTCATTTTTTTGAGAAGGATTATCGTCAACTATCAACATTGATCAACAATCCATTTTGCGGGTACCCCTTTTTTGGACAATCCTATGTATATATCTGGGTAAATTATAACGACCTCACTGCGACCTCACTGGAAATCATGGTTAGTAAGGGGAATCATCCCAAAATGGCCTTAATTCAGGTTAGTGAATTAATATAATTTACCCAGATATATGTTTTTTCTATGATGTGAATCATTTGTACATACTGAATATATATATATATATAAATACATATGTATATGGATCTAAAAATGAACACACATGAGTCAAGAAAACGGTGAATAATGTGAACAACGCCAATGGGAATGATAATACCAACAGTGCGGGAGCCTGAGATATTTACAAGCAGCAATGTAGGCAGGATTTCTTACGTATAATATATATATATGATTTGAATTGGCACCATACAATAACGTAACGTTTATTATGTATATAGATATTTGAATATACACATATTGTTTACACATTATACATTGCAGTTGTTTTTGATGCCGGCGCTACAATGATGGGCTACCTTTCACCTTTCCAGGAGGGGGCCCATGACGGAGTCATCTTTTTTTGATCGAGGTAACAGCCAAATAAATGGATGGTGTCAACTATGAATTCTCCTGCGATCTTGGTGAATGTCAAAGGTGGATTAGCACAAACTCATTGCAATGACCCGTTGGTTGTGACTAACATAGCTATGGAAAATGGCCCATGTATAGCTGATCAAGATGATTTACCTATAAACTATTGTGATTTTCCATGGCTGTGTTAAATTACTAGAGGGTAGCATCAAGTTCCAACCAACGCAGGTCTTTCGGGCGATCTCAACCACCTTCCCGCATAAAGTTCATCAAACATTTTATCAAATCAAATGGGTGGCGCATCAGTGACGCATCAAACGTCTATGGATGAACAAGATAAGAATACCCAGAAATGGGTAAATTATAACGACCTTACTGCGACCTCACTGGAAATCATGGCTAGTAAGGGAAATCATCCCAAAATGGCCTTGATTAAGGTTAGTGAATTATTATAATTTACCCAGCCATATGGGGGGTTCCTACAAAAACGGGGTGCCCCCAGATTTGTCAGAAATCAACAAAATGGTTCGGATTCTAGCGGTGCCCCATTTTAGGAAACCCCCTTACTCATATGTTCCAAGTAGGGTATATTACCCACATGGTGCTTTTTTGTGTAAGGTAATTTTTGGTGAATATTTCACCATGGTGCCATGGTGCAGATGGGATATGTTATTTTGTTATTTTGTGGTCATTGTCATACCTTAAGTCATACCATACCGAGGATATTTTGCAGGATGAACCGGAACTAGCAACTGGGTTTGTCTGAATTTTCAGGATACCCCAAAATCCAGTCAAAATCCAGTGATTAATCTAATTAACCATTATAATCCCAACAAAAGATGGCCATTTTGGGAGGTTTTAGCAGCATTTTCAGACGTTCCCAAGTGCCAGTGACTTTGACAGGTCAAGACCGTGCTGACTATCCTGAATTTGAGCAAGATCGTGGATGGCTCAGCCATGGGGAGCTACAGATTTGGACCAACCTGTGAGTTTTATTCATGTTCAAGCATGTTAGATGTTGGATAATGTTGTTCAAACATATACTGGTTGGTGGTTTGGAACATGAACTTTATGTTTCCCATCATATTGGGAATGTCATCATCCCAACTGACGAAGTCCATCATTTTTCAGAGGGGTAGGTCAACCACCAAGCAGTATATGTTGGTTATATGTTAATCCGAGAGTCCATCCATTTCCGAGAGTTCAAGATGTTTTTTTCGTACACGTTTGCTCTGCATCTT